TGATGACATTTTCAAAACCACAACAGTGATTTTGAACACTTATTTATTGAAAAAGTTAAATATAGATAATAACAAACTAAACTTAACCAATGGCATATAGCATTAAAGTATCTTAAGTAAACATTGTTAGAGAAAATATTCCTAAATCTCAGTTATAAATTATATAAAAAAGTAAATTATTTTAATTCATTATATTAGCTGATATAAATATGGCCCTATGAAATTTTTATTTTTTCTAAGCTGTATTATCATTAATGTTAATAATTCTTTGAGAAGTACATTCCGGTGTGCATTAGTAATATATTAAGTTAAGATTAATATTCACAGACACTAGTCCATATAATGATTAGATTAAGTGTACTGCCCTACTTTTAGTGCTGGGCGGTATACCGGTTCATTTTTAAAATACCGCAATACCGGTGTATGTCGCTTAAATAATGTTCGGAACGCGACACTGTTTGAAAGGGGTCCCTTTTCACTGTTGCACGGTGGTGAGGGAACAGCTGTATGTGTTACTAAGCGTGAAAGTTCCGAAACTGAAGCTGTAGAACTAAAAGAACGTGATGACACAGAAGAACTCATCCACAATATCCACATTGACCGCCACAAATATCCACCGCCCCCTGCCATCAGCTCCCGCGTCTCACACACACACGAGCGCGACTTTAGCACTAGATTTAGCAACTTTCAGACCCTTTTAGCGGCTTTTTTCCATAGAATATTCATACTGACAAACCTAGCGACTTTTTTGGATAAACCTTAGCTATGGTTCAGTTGGAAGATTTCGCCAGTGCTGTCCCGCGAACGCGAGGTCTGACTTTCCCGGAGAAGTGTCACCTCTCTCGGCGTCTGTTCTGTGCAGTGTCCAGAGAAGCCGACTCGTCAATAAATGAGTACAAAACAGCGTTTCCTAGCACCTGTCGCTTTACTGATTGTTTGGAATTATAAATATGAGTGTAGTTCATCTGTTAATATCACATGCACTTCATTTTTGACACACCCACCAAACAAGAGAAAACGTATCTCAAACAAACAAATCTCACCGTTTCCAGGAACATGTCGTTCAAACCGTAAACCATAGCAAAACGTTGCGCACCGGTTTGAGCTTGAACTTGCCCTTGGTTAACATATTAAAAGGGGTCGTGTTTAGTCACTATTTAGTGTGGTATTTTTTTTTGACAGTATTCACTCATCGTGACAGTAAAATAGGGCATTCTGAGTCCATATACTGCAGTGTTTACTCTCTCAATCAGTAGAAAATATGGTTAACACCTGGTCATGCATGAAAAAAAAATACCGTCATGTACCGTGAAACCGGTATAATTTTGAAAAATACTGTGATGTAAATTTTTGGTCATACCGCCCAGCACTACCTACTTTTGATTCATTCATCCAAAATTTGCCAAATTACGTGACATTCTGTGTTATACTGTATCTCATATTTAGGACTGGATTCTGGAATTCCTTGTTTTCTGCATTGCTAGGAGCCCATTATAAACATTATATTGATTGATATAAAAAAATTTAAGTATAAGTAAATAAATAGCATTTTCTCTTTTTTGTGCCTTTGTTTGGTCAAATTAAAACATGAGAAGTGCATTTTTGTAATCCATTTCTGATCTTGACAAAGGGGTCGTTGGTGGTGTTTTTTTTTTTTTACTCTATCTTTTTTTTCCATCTCACATAAAGCTAATGGAATCGTGTTATGTAGCTCACACAGCAGAACATGGTGCTAACAACTCCACAATCCTGGGTTTGATTCCCAGGGAATGTATGAACATGATGAAATGTGCACCTTCAATATAATGTAAGTCACTTTGGATAAAAGCATCTGCCAAAGTAAATGTGAAAAGTAAAAGGTTCAGAAGATTTGGAATATAATGCAGGAGTATGTTCTACTTTTACAAAGTTCCCAGAGTCTGTATATTAAGGAACTAATTATTAAGTGTTCTATAAAAAGGTCATTTTGTGAGTAAATAGTTTTCTTGTTGGATGATCTCTTGAGATTTTTTTCTATTTTTAATTAATTTGATAGTAAATTTACATTTACATCTCAATTTTCTGCAGTTAAATAACTAGTCAGGGAATAAGTCATTAAGGTAGCATACTGCACAGTTCCAAGAGAATGCTAGCTAGGAGAAAAGGCATTAACCCGATCATATTTTAAGACCATTTAAGCAGTGTAACTCTTATTCCTCTTGCAGTTTTCGCATGACAAGATGGTGTCTTCAACTGCATGGTATGTTTTTGTTCTTTGTCGGAATTAAGTATTTGCAAGATCATTTGGTTTTCTGAGAATTTGATTGTCTGCGTTTTGCCTCCACCCAGCCGAAAGCTCATTTTGAAAATGTTTAAGGATAATTTAATGATGAAACACTTGATTAATTGTGTGCTGTCATTAATAGAAGACAGGTCCTTTTTTAAAAAGGATTTTATCTTCAATAATAATAAGACAGAGCAGGTAGGGTGCAGTTATCTTTATGACCTGTTACAGTTTTGTAATTTCGTAATTACAATTGTATGATGTTGCTCCAATCAGGTTTTTACGGCGATACATTTTTGTCTTGTCATCTCAGTCCAGTGCCAATCCTTATTTAGGTCTTTCTTTCTTTCTTTCTTTCTCTCTTTCGTTCTCTCTTTCTTTATTTCAGGAGCTCTGTCAGAACCAGTTATTTGTAAGCTCTCTGTTCAGTCACTTTTAACATAATTATCAATTAACCAACAATATGGACAACACCTATGGTATAATTTATAAAAAAAATAAATAAACAAGCACAATTTTTGAAATGTTTTTTAATAGGCCTAAAAAGAACAAGTAGGCATACACAAAATATCCATATTAGCATGCATAGTCGTATGAGGAAATAATTAAATTGATATTCATTTGAACTCATTGGTGTAATGAAGCTTAATGTGAGAGCTAGACCTGTCGCAATAATCACTATATCGACTTATCGTGCAATATATGTACATGACCTCAATAATTTTTGGTGATGCAATATATCGCCGATTATATTTACTTAAAAATTAATGTCACCATGTTTTGTACATTCCACTTGCGCCTGTGTCTTCTGCAGCTTCTCGAACATAACGTGTAGTCATGAGGTGTTAGTTGAAATTAAAAAAATGCTTTTACAAAAAATGTTTCCTCTGCAGATATGGTCTTGTTTAGGGATCTGTGCCTTTGTGCATACGGACATCTGAACTTAAAAATTAATGTCACCATGTTTTGTACATTCCACTTGCGCCTGTGTCTTCTGCAGCTTCTCGAACATAACGTGTAGTCATGAGGTGTTAGTTGAAATTTAAAAAATGCTTTTACAAAAAATGTTTCCTCTGCAGATATGGTCTTGTTTAGGGATCTGTGCCTTTGTGCATACGGACATCATCGCACAACAAAAAGTTGTTATCGTGACAGGCCTAGTGAGAGCTTTCTGTATTTATTCATTATTGTTCATGATTGACAGTTGTGTATTCATCATTGTTATCTAATCATTCATTCCTTTTATTTATATATTTAGCAATTTTTTTTATTTACTTTCTAAATAATGTTTATTGAATTATTTATAATTACATTCCCTGCCTTTTCATTTTGTTGATGTTGGTAATATTAGTTTCCCCCAAAGTTTTAAAGTGATGTTGAAGTCTTAAAGCAGACTGGTGTCTATTGCATTATTGAAATGTGATCCGGTCAAGTTGACAGACCAGCAGTCGAGTCATAGAATAGGATTATCCACTGATTACAATCAGCTGAGCATCCCTCGAATGCCATTATTACTTAGAAATGAGTGAATATAATGCGTCGTTTCACTGAAATTACCTGTATTGTCTTCCTAATCACGTGTCTAATGGGAATCTCCTCTGTCCCATTTCTCATCAACAGACACACGTCATGGAGGGAGCCCATCAACCCGTACTACGTGAACACCGGCTACGCGCTGGCTCCCGCCACCAGTGCCAACGACAGCGAGCAGCAGAGCATGTCCAGTGATGCAGACACTCTCTCCCTGACCGACAGCAGTGTGTACGTACACATCTATAGACACACAAACACACACGGATCCATCCTCACCGCCGCAAGCTGGCGTAACATTCCATCCGAGGGCTTAGAGCGATTCAATTTCACCATGTTGTCCTGAGTCAATTTGGCAGGATTTTCCTCCTCCAAGAAACTTGCAGCCAGTTCTGCAGAAAGCCAGATATTTCAGCAATCGAACGGAAGATGCGCAGACAAAGCTCGATATTGCTTGTCATTGGCGTGTCTTAAGCCGAGGTTGGCAGCCGTTAGCAGAGACTGGTCTCAGAGCAGTGTCTCGTGCATGCAGAATTTGTGCCATTTTCCCCCAGCTCTGCTCTGGGAACAGAAACAAATCTGCTCTCCTCTGAGGAGGACCATCTGCTCATTATCCACACCAATGAAAGCTTCTAAATGTCATTACTTATGCTAATTATAGAGCTTCAAATTGGGAGGTATGAGGCGCTGCAGGCTGTAATTTGAAGGCATTGACTGTTTCCCTTCAAATTAACTTTCTCTGAAAACAAAGGAAATGGCCTTCACGTTGTACTGTACACAGGCAGGTTACGGAAAGGAGCAGGAAACGAAATGTAGAAAACAAAGTAAGAATAAATAGTGTTTTGGCCTTAGGTTTAATCAAATTTGTCCACTCATTTCATGGCTTCCAAAATAATTCAGCCTCATGCAATTATTTTAAATGGTCAACACAAGGACGAGGCAGCTGGAGAACGTATTTTGATATGAAATGATTTTCCATCCATTTATGTGGAAGTGGTTATAAATTGAAAGCTTTTTAAAATGTGTATTTTTAAACCTGCTAATGCAGCCAACGCTCAGTCAAGGTGCGGTCACATTAGAGAAATTTCGTGGTCAAAAAAGGTCAATAGTGTGGTGATGTATAAAGCACAGCTCACACAAGTCACTTTCAAACCAAGCAGTTTTCTGTTGGCCAGTTCTTAGAATCTGTGTGACCAATTTGTACCTATTGCAAAATCTGCATGGGGAAATCTTTTACCCTCATGCAAAATTCCCAGTCATATGGGATCTTTTTGAAATGACTGGATTTCGCCCATGAAAATGTGCCGAACAACCATTAATGCGCCATTAGTGACTATAGTGTATATTAGAGCTGCACGATTCTGGATAAATTGAGAATCACGTTTTTTTTTCGTCTCAAATAGAGATCACGATTCTCCCCCGATTCTGAACTAAACAAAATAATGTGTGACAAAATATTATTGCTGCAGTCTATTTAAAAGTGTTTAATTAATTTGAATTAATTTACACTACCATTCAAAAGTTTTTGAACAATAAGATTTTTAATGTTTTTTAAAGAATTATCTTCTGCTCAGCAATGCCTCCTGCATTTATTTGATCCAAAATACAGCAAAAGTAGTAATATTGTGAAATATTTTTTATAATTTAAAATAACTGCTTTCTATTTTAATTATATCAATTAATACTTTTATTTAGCAAGGATTCTTTAAATTGATCAAAAGTATGGCTAAAGACCTTTATAATATTACAAAAGATTTCTATTTAAGATAAATGCTGTTCTTCTGAACTTTCTATCAAAGAAACCTGAAAAAAATCTACTCACCTGTTTTCAACAATAATAATAATAATAATAATAATAATGTTGTTTTGAACAACAAATCAGAATATTATAATTATTTCTGAAGGATCATGTGACACTGAAGACTGGAGTAATGGTGCTGAAAATTCAGCTTTGCAATAAATTACGTTATAAAATATATTCAAATAGAAAGGAGTTATTTTAAATTGTAAAAATATTTCAAAATTTTACTGTTTTTGCTGTACTTTGGATCAAATAAATGCAGGCTTGGTGAGCAGAAGAGACTTCTTTAAAAAACACAAAACTTACGGTTCAAAAACTTTTGACTGGTAGTGTATATACTGTATAATATATTTAATACACCATTTTTTAGTATTAAAATTATGAAAAAGTTATTTGAATCAATGATTCAACGACTCACTCATAAACCTTCACTTGTTTCATTACTGGATGAATCAGCGTTTTTGAACTATTCTCTTGAATGAATAATTCATTCAATGACACAATAAATTAAGTCACTTTTTGCCACCTAGTGGTGAAACTGCTCCGGGTGTGTGATCACGGTGTGTGTGTGTGTTCACTGCTGTGTGTGTGCACTTTGGATGGGATAAATGCAGAGCACTAATTCCTAGTATGGGTCACCATACTTGGCCACATGTCACTTCACTTAAGTGTCTACTTTAAAAAAAAAAAAAAACAACTTAAAAAAAACAATGCAATCGACACAAACGTTATTTGAAGCGTAGTTACTTTCAAAAGGGGATTTGCTCTATTTTGATCATTGCCATAGACATCGATGTTTATATCTGAACTATAAACTTTCACCCCAGTATTTCTGTGATAATATGAATGACTAATACAGAAATAATACTGTGTAGTTGAAAAGACAGTTTGTGAAGATGTTTCTTAACCAAACATGGTAAGTAACTGCTTTCTCTGTGTCAGCGGGAGTGCGAACACAGATTTGAATGATCCGGTAAGACTTTGCCAAAGGTTTAATAGACTCGGGGAATCGTTGTCATTTAGAAATGAGATCGCGTGGGTGTCTGAATCGAGATCGCGATCTTTTAACGATTAATCGTGCAGCTCTAGTGTATATATAGATTGACAGTAGTGTAGCAATGTATGAAACGCAGCTCATGCAGAAGTCACTTTCAAACAGTGGATTCCTGTTAAAACGACTCTATTTGCCTGCGAAAATTTGCTGAACAATGGGAAATGTGTGGTCACATTAGCGAAATTTCACAGGCAAAGAAAGGTCTATTGGCAATAGTGTAGCAATGTACGAAGCACAGCTAACACAAAAGTCACTTTCAAACCAAGCAGCTTTCTGTTGGTCAACACAGCGGATCTGCGTGACCAACTTGAATGTGTTGCGAAATCTGCATAGGAAAATCTTTCACCCTCACACAAAATTCCTAATCGTGTGTATTCTTATTGAAATGGATGGATTTCGTCCACGAAAAATTCATGCAACAACGGTACACATAGCCACACCTTGACTGTAATTTAGATGAAATGTACATTTTCGTCATGTTACACAGGAAATTAGTTCCTTTTCAGTGATTTAGGAGGATTTCGACTACAGATGGTTTTAGCTAGAGCAGCAGCAACAGGGAGTTTGCTGAGTGCAGAGAAGGCATGAGTGATCCTTGTTGCACAAAAAAACACATTAAAGGCACATCAGGGCAAAAACATGTGTCTGAAGTGGGCTAGATTAGAGGCCATTATCAGCTGTTTGCCAGGCAGGGATGCAGGGGGGTCCGCAGCAGGACCCTGGGGGATTAAAGACTCCCCGTGCGTCTGTCAGTGAAGGACCCCAAACATGCTTTGCTCTGAAGCTGTTGCCGCCACTGCCCCAGGGATTCAGTCAGAAGTGGGGAGCACTTTATTTATTTTTTTGTTTGTTTTTTTACAATTTCAGTCCCACAACAAAAACGTAAGCGCTTGCTATCACTTTAGCTTTGCAGTCTGAGGTCTGTTCTCACACAAGGACTGTCTTGTATGCACATATTCATTGTTGCGAAGCAATAGCACCATTTTGTTCCATGTAGAACTGACATTTCAAGTCTAGTGAGGTAACATTTTGCATTTAGCAAGCTCAGTTAAAACCCCTGATGTTTAGTACATGTTTTTCATCACGGGTTTAATTACTAGCACAAAATACAACGTGCGAAGCTTTTGCTAAATGATTATGTAGGAGCCAGCTTTTGCATTTCATGTAGATTAGACAAACGGTACTATGGATAGCTAGGGATAGTTTGTTCCAAAATGAAAATGTTCATTGTTTACTCACCCTCATATCGGTCCAAACCTGTATGAATTCGTGTTTTGTGGAATAGAAATGTTTAGCAGAATGTCTGATCTGCTCTTTCATATAATGAAAGTAAATGGGGACCACGGACTGTCAAGCCGTCAAATGGGAATAAAATTCCTTAAGTCTCATACGTAAGTACATAAGGCTTCTGAAGTCATATATTCTGAAGCCACATAATAGCTTTAAACGGAATGAAATATTCACTGAAAATTTAGCTTTACAGCCATGGTCACAATTTACTTAACTGTGTGGAAGAGAGCATTAGTATTATTTATATACTATTATAGTATTTAGTAGAGCCCGACCGATATATCGTTTTGCCGATATTATCGGCCGATCCACCCGAAATGAATTTTTTTTTTACAGAACATATAACACAGATAAAATGCTTTAAATGGTGTAATTACTTAGTTTGTCCAGAAGAGCGTGCTCCATTGTTTGCTACTGGTGACCTGGATGAAACGCTTTAAAGCTTAAGTCTATGATTTTTTTTTACAGAACATATAACGCAGATAAAATGCTTTAAATGGTGTAATTACTTAGTTTGTCCAGAAGAGCGTGCTCCATTGTTTGCTACTGGTGACCTGGATGAAACGCTTTAAAGCTTAAGTCTATGGAAAACCATTGAAACTTTGAACGGCAATCCCCCGCCGTGTTCGCGAGATAGTGACACCAGCCAACACTTTCACTTCAATAAGGAGGTCTCTTGTTCAGGCGAACAAGAAGTGAAATAAACTTTCAACTAAATAAAGTTGAATTGAATTGAATTGAAATAATATAAGTGTTTGATCACCACATTTGAGTGATCATTGCAAAAAAATTTTTTATTCTGTTTGTATATACTGTATTTTATATAGTACCAGTCAAATGTTTGGACACACGAATGGGAAAGTTCGGCCCCAAAAAACCCATATCGGTCGGGCTCTAGTATTTAGTATTTTGAATTAGCTTGTCTTTATATTTTCAGTATTCCTTTTAATTTGAGTAATTTTATGTGCTTTTGTCTTTTTTTATTTTTGTTATTAGTTTTTGTAGTAACTCTTTGCATTAAGAAAAATACTTTTAAAGTGTTTATTAATCTTAATGTTAATTACAACATCTGCTAATACATTATGAAAATCAAAAGCTGTACCTGTTAATATTATTTATTACACGGCTCTGTGGAATACTTGATTCTGATTGGTCAGTCGCGACATTCCGAGGTATGTAATCCCTCGATAACAACCAGTAAAAGCTGATAACACAGGCTCATCCGGGTAACTGAAGTCGGCGCTCTACTCTTGCTAGGAACAGTTTTTCTTGGTGGAAGCTTTGCGTTTGTTTAGCTAATAAAATATTAAAACTCGATTTTTAAAATTGTGTACAATTATTTAATTATGTCATCCTGGTATCGCTGACTCGCTCTCTCGTTTCATACAAACCCAGCTGCTGCCATTTTGCGACGATTTTGTACGCTGTAATGGATTATAAGATAACTAACATACTGGTAAGATTTTAAAACATTTTCGTCTTAAAGGGGTCATATGACGTTGCTAAAAAATAACATTATTTTGTGTATTTGGTGTAATGAAATGTGTTTATGCGGTTTAAAGCCTGTGTTATACTTTCCGCATGAGCAATCCGGATGCGTACACGGACAACGCGGACTACTTGTATTTATACTTCCGAAAGCATACGCTGATGGTCCGCTCCGCATAGTAGATCAGCTTGAACAATAAACAAACATGTGAACAAAGAATTGCCCAGAGTTATTGCACATCTGGCTTTCTTTGTATTGTTTTATCGATGAAATGTACAGGTTCGAGTAGCAACGGGCTTCTTCACACAGCCTGCGCATGCGCAGTAGCCTACTGAGCCTCCGCGCACACTCTCCAATGACGATTTTTACGCCACACATACCATAGCGGACTCGCGGACGCGGAAAGTATAACACAGGCTTAAGGTTAAAAAAAATACACATTATTTTCCACATACTGTACATTATTGTTTCTCCTCTATGCCCCGCCTTTCTGAAACGCCTCG